CCATCCACCGCAGAGTAGGTGTGGTCTCCGGCAAGGAGACAAGAGGCTGAAGGTTGATCTGATGCGCTGCGTACTGAACCGCGAACGACCACAGAAAATGGGGAGCAGCCGCATGGATCATGGACGTGCGAGCGACGTCCATGACCATGCCAATGCGGCGCTCAGCAATCCCATTTTGCTGCGGTGAGGCCGGAAGTGTGAACGTCTGGCGGATGCCCTCAGAGCGACAGAAGGCTCTCAGGAGGTCGGAGGAAAACTCCCCGCCTCTGTCTGAGTGCAGACGCAGAACAGGAAGGGCTGAGCCGAAACTCTCACTAAGCTGGCGACGAGCACCGCGGATCCAGTCGATCATTACCTCAGTGACCTCACCCTTGCTGCGCAAGGGGAAGACCGTGGTGTAACGCGAGTAGTCGTCAACGACCAGCAGGAAGTAACGCTCGTGACCCTGTCCACGGACGCGGGCTGGGCCCCACACGTCCATGTGAAGTGTCTGCAGAGGAGCCTCAGTCGGAGGGAACGAGGAGGAGTGAGGGGTGGCGCGCTGCCGGCCCTCGACACAAGGAACACAGGTGGGGGCAGGCCCCGAAGGAAGGGGAGGGAGGGACCTGGGGAGACCAGAGACAAGGGCACGGGAGGCCATACCTCGAAGACGAGGCAGGGAGGGGTGACCAAGGCGGTGGTGCCAAAGGAGAGTCTCGTGCGACAGAGGACGACACGAGCAGGGGGCAGACGCAGGACTAGACCTGGACGCGGCAGCTAACACCTGACTAGACGCAGCTACCTGACCAGACGCAGAGACCGGAGGAGGTGCAGTAGTCAGTGTGTACAGACTCGACCCTGGCCGACAGGTGAACGTGGCCAGGTGGCGGCCCGTCCGAGAGCAAGTGCAGTGGGTCACACGCTGACCTCCAGGGGTGAACTGGTCAACCCACGCGTCCTGGAGGTCAGCTCCACTCACCAAGTTCGTAGAGAACGAGGGAAGCTGGAGTCCCGACAGCAAGCCCGACGGGGCCGCAGGACACGGTAGAAATGTAGAGGAGCGTGCAAGGACTGGGCCCCCTGAGGGGTCAGCAAGGGAAACCGCAACACGCCGGCTGAGCGGCGTGAGCGTGGTGCTGTCTCTAAAGAAAGAGCGCGGAGAACCAGAGTCAAGTGTGAAAGTGTGCAAGGCATCAGTAGGTGCAGCATCAGAGAGAGGAGACGTACCAGTACCTGGAGCAGCAGACGCACTAGCACCTAGGGCAGCAGCCGCACGAGCACCTGGAGCAGCAGCCGCAGTGCCCGGGTCGGGCGGGACACGCAGGTAACAGTCACCCTCAGTAATAGCAGCAAGAGCATACATGGCAGCAAGGATAGCATCAAAATCTAGATCAAAGATAGGCACATTCTGCAGAAGCAGATCATGCCAGCGAGGGAGCTCAGCAGAGTCAGGAAACTGGGTACGCCAAGCGTCAGTCAAGCGACCAAAGCAGCGCTGCGTGGTGTGTGGGAGCCCACACACCTCCCCACTACGAGGGCCGGTGAAAAAAACGTAAGCGCAGGGACCTGCACCCCCAGACCTCCCACGCCCAGCGTACCACTCACGAAGCTGCTGAACCGACGGGGTCTCACTGGAGCGCGGCTGCTGCTGACGCTGGCTACCACCAGCGCCTCCACGCTGCGCGGCTGCACCTCGACCACCACCACCGCCGCCACCACCTCCACCACCGCTGCCGCTGCCTCCACCACCTCCGCCGCTGCCTCCACCACCTCCACCGCCGCCACTGAAGCCCCCACTCCCGGTGCCACCCCCACCTCCACCGCCACCCCCTCCTCCTCCGCCACCACCGCCCCCGCCGCCCCCTCCACCACCTCTGCTCCCCTTGCCCTTGCTGTTGCGGCGTCTCCCACTCGGAGCAGACGCAGCCCCGACCTCCTCAGTGCCAACGAGGTTGACAGCAGCAGCAGAAGCAACAGAGGAGAGAAGGGGGACAGGGGAACACCCCTCAAAGAAAGGGGTGCGACGGTCGCCGCGAGAAGCACCTACAGCTAAGATACTCTTCTCAGCTGCAGTAAGGCGCTCCTCTAGCAAGTCGACAGTCAGCTCGGTGGGGCAAAGGGAGAGGAAGTGATCCCTTACTGAGGAAAGCGAGTCAGGGAGGCGAGTGACTAGGTAGTAAAGGGTGATGTACATGGGGGGAGAGTTCGTGGCACAGAACTCAGTGGGAAGGGCAGCACGGTAGCGGGCGTCACTAGTGCGGAGGTGAGCAACTAGGTCAGCGACTGTGGCAAAGGCGGCAAGGTCAGGGAAAAGGTACGGCAGCATGAGGCGGCTGAGTGCAGTAGCTTAAGGGGAGGAGTAGCGTGCAACTACAGCGTCGTACAAAGACTGAGCAGTCTTGTACTGGCCAAAGTGTGCGCGCTCAGCAGGCGGTAGGTGACTACGAACAGCAAGACGAGCAACAGCGTCACGAGTGGTCCACTGAGAGCGAAAAGTACTGTCAGCAGTGGCAGCAGGAGCAGTGGAAACACCGGACGTGTGATCGAAAAGAGATACCCCATCCCTAGAATCACACTGAAGAAACAGCTGTAGATCGTCAACCCATACGTCAAAGCCTACTGCACGTCCCTCAGCATCAAAGGTGAGAACGGTAGGATTAGCCATAGTAGCAGTAGGAGCAGCAGCAGTGCAAAGCAGTGGTAGCAGCAGTAGTAGTAGTAGCAGCAGTCGAGGCAGTAGCAGCAGTGCTGTTCGGCAGAGCAGTGCGGCTCGGTGGGGGCGGCGCGGCTAGGCTGAGCGGCGCGGCTCGGCTGGGCGGCGCGGCTCGGCTGGGCGGCGCGGCTCGGCTACTGGCGGCGCGGCAGCAGGGAGGGGAAGGGGGGGAGCACGAGTGCTTACCAGGGGCCGCTGTTGGGGCGGCAGCAGGGCAGGGCCAGGCCGACGGGCGGCGGGTCAGCGACGGGCGGCAGGTCGGCGACTGGCGGCTGGTCAGGGACGGGCGGCAGGTCGGCGACGGGCGGCTGGTCAGGGACGGGCGGCAGGTCGGCGACAGGCGGCTGGTCAGGGACGGGCGGCAGGTCGGCGACGGGCGGCTGGTCAGGGACGGGCGGCAGGTCGGCGACAGGCGGCTGGTCAGGGACGGGCGGCAGGTCGGCGACGGGCGGCTGGTCAGGGACGGGCGGCAGGTCGGCGACGGGTGGCTGGTCAGGAACGGGCGGCTGGTCAGGGACGGGCGGCGGGTCGGCGACGGGCGGCTGGTCAGGGACTGGCGGCAGGTCGGCGACGGCCTGCTGGTCAGCGACGGGCCAGGTACGGGCGGCAGCAGGCCGCGAAGGGGCCGTGACGGGCCGTGAAGGGGCCGCGACGGGCCATGAAGGGGCCGCTACGGGCCGTGAAGGGGCCGCTACGGGCCGCGAAGGGGCCGCGACGGGCCGCGAAGGAGCCACGACGGGCCGTGAAGGGGCCGCGACGGGCCGTGAAGGGGCCGCTACGGGCCGCGAAGGGGCCGCGACGGGCCTTGAAGGGGCCGCGACAGGCCGCGAAGGGGGCCGCTACGGGCCGCAAAGGGGCCGCGACGGGGCCGTGACGGGCCGTGAAGGGGCCGCGACGGGCCGTGAAGGAGCCGCTACGGGCCGGGAAGGGGACGCGACGGGCCGCGAGGGAGCCGCGACGGGCCGTGAAGGGGCCGCGACGGGCCGTGAAGGGGCCGCTACGGGCCTTGAAGGGGCCGCGACAGGCCGCGAAGGGGGCTGTTACGGGCCACAAAGGGGCCGCGACGGGCTGAAAAGGGGCCGCGACGGGCCGTGAAGGGGGGGCTACGGGCCGCAAAGGGGCCGCTACGGGCCGCAAAGGGGCCGCTACGGGCCGCGAAGGGGCCGCTACGGGCCGCAAAGGGGCCTCTACGGGCCGTGAAGGGGCCGCTACGGGCCGCGAAGGGGCCTCGAAGGGCAGGCGCGACGCGCGCGCCGGGCAGGTAAAGAAAAAAAAAAGCTTTATTGGTGGGCCCTTAGGAAAAAAAATCGAACTAGCTCTATACCATGTGAGAATTGAGGAATGAGTGAGTGAACTAGAAAGGAGATGGGTACAAGTAGAGAACACAAAAGTGTTGTACCCTCTAAGAACTACCCCACTACAGCCTAAACAGACTATAGCAGATATAAGTTCGACATAGACTTCTGCGTTGATGCTTTCGCGAGGGTTTTCGTCGTCCATCGGAACATGTACCAAGCAGTAGGGAAGAGTTCCGGCTTCCTCGGATGCTCCGTCCACGTTTTGCTCATCCTAGTCAGCCTCATCTACTGGTGTGGCAAAGGCTCGGTTGCCACGGAAGTGTCAGAATGTATTTGCTGTTTAGCCTGCAGTGGGGTAATCTGTAGTGAGCACAACCCAATTTAGGGTTTGCTATTTGTATCCCAACTTCCCATAGTGAAACCATCTCTTTCTCGATTCTCCCTTGCTCAATTCCTCTCGACACTCAACTCTCTCGACACTCTAACCTAGCTATGGCTCCTAAGTCACGCTAGGATTCTCACATGGTATTAAGAGCAATAAGTTCTAGGACCTAACATCAATGGGCCCACCACCTAATGCCCTGCTAGCCGAGGCCCCGGCCCGTCGCCCCTTGGCGTAGCCCCTAGCCCCTAGGCTCGGCCCTTTGGCCCCGTCGCCCCTAGCTGTGACACTCGGCCCCGTTGGCCCCGTCGCCCCTAGCCGCGCCCCTCGGCCCCGCTGGCCCTGTCGACTCCGTCGCCCCGCGCCCGGCCCGTACTTAGCCCGCGATCCGCTCGTACCTAGCCCGCGCTCGGCCCCGTTCCTAGCCCCGCGCCCGGCCCGTACCTCGCCCGCGCTTGGCCCCGTACCTAGCCTCGCGCTCGGCCATGTTCCTAGCCCCGCGCCCGGCCCGTACCTAGCCTCGCAACCGGCCCGTACCCTGCCCGCGCCCGGCCCCGTCTCTCGCCCGCGCTCGGCCCGTACCTAGCCCAGCACACGGCCCCGACCCTAGCCAGCGCCCGGCCCATACCTAGCCCGCGCCCGGCCTGTAACCAGCCCGCGCCCGGCCCGTACCTAGCCAGCGCCTGGCCCTGTACCTCGCCAGCGCCCGGCCCCGTACCTGCCCAGCGCCCGGCCCCGTACCTGCCGAGCGCCCGGCCCCGTACCTGCCCAGCGCCCGGCCCCCGTACCTGCCCAGCGCCCGGCCCCGTACCTGCCCAGCGCCCGGCCCCTTACCTGCCCAGCACCCGGCCCCGTACCTGCCCAACGCCCGGCCCCGTACCTGCCCAGCACCCGGCCCCGTCCCTAGCCCAGCACCCGGCCCCGTACCTGCCCAGCGCCCGGCCCCGTCCCTAGCCATGGCCCCATCGCCCCTAGCCATGGCCCCTCGCGACCTGCCGCCCCTAACCGCGGCCCCGGTGCCCTGTTGCAACATGGTGGGTGAGGGGGTGGCAAGAGGGGGTTCCTCCTGCCCGCGTGCCCTACAGTCGCACGCGCAGCTCCGCCCCCGCCCCCCTCCCCCCCCTCCCCCCCCTCCATGGGGACCGGGGGGAGAGGGTGTGAGGGGGTGGCAGATGTGCCTCGGCAGCAGCAGCTGCCGCCACGCCTCCTCCCCTCTCTCTCCCTGCCGCGCCTTGTGTTGGGAGGGGGGGGGAGCTTGGAAGTTCAGGGGGAGGCAGGAGGGGATCTGCAGCAGCAGTTGGGGGAGGGGATCTGCAGCAGCAGTGGGGGGAGGGGATTCGCAGATTCAGCCCCCCCCCCCCCCCCCCCGCCCTTTTCTCCTCTCTCTCTCCCTGTCGCACCCTGTGTTGGGAGGGGGGGGAGCTTGGAGGTTCAGAGGGAGGCAGGAGGAGATCTGCAGCACCAGCCCCCCCCGCTCCCCCCCTTTCTCCTCCACTCCTGCTGCGGGTGCAGCAGTGGGGGGGAGGGGATCTGCAGCAGCAGTGGGGGGGAGGGGAGTTGCAGCATAACCCCCCCCCCCCCCACTTCTCCTCCATCCCCCTGCTGCGGGTGCAGCAGTGGGGGGAGGGGATCTGCAGCAGCAGTGGGGGGAGGAGATTTGCAGCATCAGCCCCCCCCCCCCCCCCCCCCCCCCCGCCCTTTTCTCCTCTCTCTCTCCCTGCCGCACCCTGTGTTGGAAGGGGGGGGGAGCTTGGAGGTTCAGAGGGAGGCAGGAGGGGATCTGCAGCACCAGCCCCCCCCGCCCCTGTGCGTCCGTTGCTCCTGCCGCTCAGAATTAGCCGCAGAGCCAGTTACTCCTGTAGTTCGGGGATACGGCCCCGGTAGCCACAGTGCGCGCCGAACCTGTTGCCCGTGTGTCTGCAGCATCAGCCGTCGCCTCCTATCTCCTCTCCTCTCACAGTCCAGCCTCCTCCTCCTCACTTGCCCTTTGTGAATGCCTCTAGCTTTGCTTGTACTTGTGAACCTGCTCTATGACTGCTTGCTCTGCTGATTATACCCCACTTTGACCATGGGGATGTGTCAAAATGTATTTGTTGTTTAGCCTGCATTGGGGTACTCTGTAGTGAGCACAACCCAATTTAGGGTTTGCTATTTGTATCCCAACTTCCCATAGTGAAACCATCTCTTTCTCGATTCTCCCTTGCTCAATTCCTCTCGACACTCAACTCTCTCGACACTCTAGCCTAGCTATGGCTCCTAAGTCACGCTAGGATTCTCACAGGAAGCCGCCCGTGAGGTCTCATTCTACTGCCAAGTTGTCCAGGTACTTTTGGAGAGTAAGTCGTTCGTAGAAAGTCACGTCACGTGCTGCTACTGTTTCCTTCGAGTGGGCGTTGAAGATTTTCCACAGGTTGTTGTGTTTTTCGATGCCCGGGTGTAGTCCCCACTGTGCGCATTGTGAGAATCATCCAGCTCATGCAATGTGTGGTCGGTACTGTACCATGCAGCCAAAAACTCGTAACATTTTTGTGTTGCCCAATTTTCCTGTCCACAGCAGATGCGGTGATGCGTTGTTCGGAAGCGAGGATGACGAAAGCAAGTTTTGCAACAGCGCAGCGTGGTCCATCGCCTCAGGCCACTGATGGTTGGGTAGCCACATGCCACGTAGCAGCTTGCGTATGGTGTTCTGGAGGGTCCTGTACTCTTTCTGCCACTCCGGTCGAGATGTGGTGGGTGCGACCAGGTAGTGAAATTGACGATCGCGTCGCTGTCAGCTGTTCCTTGATCTGGAACAAAATAAAGAATGAAGACGTTGTTCTTCAGGACCGCTTTGCCGATGTAAAGTCCTCCCTTCCCGTTGTACAGCTTCATCTCCTGAGTGGTGCTGTCGACTTCAAGGTGAATCCCTTTGCCATGAGCTGGCTGACGCTGAGTAAGTTGTAGCCCAGTCCTTCTGCAATCAATACCTTTGACATCTATAAAACGACGTTAGTCTCGCGGGACTGAAGTTGAACTACTCCTTGTCGTCGTGTGCGCAGGTTCTGGTTGTTGGCGACGGTGATCACGACTTCCCGGTTGAGGTGTTGTTCCCGTTGAACGAAGCGGTTTGACGAGCACATGTGTTGTGCGCAGCAGCTGTCGAAGAACCAAGTACCTTAACCGGACGGTTCGCTCTGTGCAATGGCTACATACGTCGGATTTGGTTCTAGCGATTCGCGACGAGGCGTGCTTTCGTCGAGCAGTTCTTATGGTGAGTAGGTCGGTGGTGAACCAGTGATGCAGGGGTCCGTTCTTGGCATGCAGCTTATGATGTTTCTTGTTCCTCGTGTAGATTGTGATGTTGTCGTTGAAGGCGCCGCTTGGTTGGAAGGATGCTGCTGTGTGGAAGTTACTTGACTACTTGATGGTCGAAGCTGACGTGGTGGTGGTGTCGATTGCTGCTGATTCAGGCAGTGAATACGGGAGTGGCCGGACGTTTGGCAGAGGTGACAAAATGGCGGTACGTGTCTTCGTCCGTGATGCTCGTTTTGTCGGTTGTTGTTGTAGCGCCGTTGAGTGTGAAAGGCGAACTCTGGTGCTGATGCCCTTTTCTTGTGACGTTCTTCGTGCAGGTCCATATCTTGTTGCTCGGCGTGAATTTCGGCGCAGAGATTTGCTTCGGAGATTCTTCCGTGGGCTCGGAGAATGGCTCGAGTGGAACGCCACTGAGGACCAAGACCTGTGATAACGTCAGTGACGAACACTTCTTCGGATATTGATCTGCCGCATCGAAGGAGTCTATCGCGCAGACCGCGACAGCGAATGATATATGCCATTCCCTTTTCGCCGGGTTGCATTTGGACCGTTGTTAATTGTGCCATGAGACGACTTTGATTAACGCTGTCGGTTGCTTGATACAGGTTCTTCATGTGGTTGTACGCGAGCTCGGCGGAGTTACCGTATCCGCGATAAGACCGGATGTTCTGCTGCTCGTTTGGCGTTATGTTTGGTAGGAGTATGGTGTACGCCATTAGTGACTGATACGTGTACTGCTGTTTGTCGTACTGCGTCCCGTGCGTTGGATATGGCAGGAAACCGTCGAAGAAGCCAAGGATTTGAGCGCTTTCCATCATCAGCTCGAACTCAAAGGACCAGGTATAGAAATCCTTGCCGTCAAATGGTGTTGTTGTTTGGAGTTTCAGGATGTGTGCAAACTGTGACTGCAGTTGAAGTGCGTCCAGAGTCTTTGTTTCTTGTCCAGGTGGGAGTCGATTCGGCGTGAAGCTGACGGAGCCGCGTTGAGGCTCGTACGGTGCGAAGGTAGGCTGCTGATTTCCACGCGCAAAAGATGAACCGTCAAAGCTCATGGGAGTGACTCCGTTGTTGTTGTCGCTGTTGTTTGACTGCGTAGGTGCTGCTTGTTGATGTTGCTCGTAGAACGACATGAAGGAGAAGAACTTCTCCATCATGCTTGGGTCGAAGCCGGTTGCTTGATTGGTGGGAGTTTCAGTGGACTCAGTAGCTGGTCCTTGGGTTCAGGGCCTATGATTCACTTTTAGGCACATTAATGCATCAGGTTCCCTCTGTGTAGAATCATTGATCGTCAGTGTCCCCCCAAAAAAAAGCCTGATAATTCAGTGTTTCCTTCAAAAAAAGTCGGATGCATCAGTGTTCCCTTTTTGTAAAGGCTGATATTGAACTTAAAATAAGATAATGTTAGAACATTATAGCTTATACATTTGTGTAGGCTGTAGTGGGGTAGTCCATAAGGGGTACAACCCAATTAGGGTTAGTACTTGTACCCAACTGTTTCATAGTTCATTCATTTTCTCGTTCGTAACTTTGACATGGAATCAGAGCAGGTTCCTTGGGCCCACCACCTGCTGCGCTGCTAGTACCCCCCTTGGCGCTGGCCCCTTGGCCCATCACTTTTTCCTTGGCCCGTCGTGCCCCTAGGCCCGTCGCGCCCATTAGGTCCGTCGCGCCACCCCACGGCCCCATTGCCCCTAGGCCCCGGCCCTTTGGCCCGTCGCGCCCCTAGGCCCGTTGCGCCCCTTAGGCCTGCCGCACCACCTCACGGCCCCTTCGCCCGTCGCGCCCCTCGGCCCCTTCGCCCCTCGGCCCCTTCGCCCCTCGGCACCGGCCCCTTGGCCCGTCGCACCCCTAGGCCCGTCGCGCCCCTTAGGCCCATCGCGCCACCCCACGGCCCCTTCGCCCGTCGCGCCCCTCGGCCCCTTCGCCCCTCGGTCCAGGCCCCTTGGCCCGTCGCGCCCCTAGGCCCGTTGCGCCCCTTAGGCCCGTCGCGCCACCCCACGGCCCCTTCGCCCGTCGCGCCCCTCGGCCCCTTCGCCCCTCGGCCCCGGCCCCTTGGCCCGTCGCGCCCCTAGGCCCGTCGCGCCCCTTAGGCCCGTCGCGCCACCCCACGGCCCCTTCGCCCGTCGCGCCCCTCGGCCCCTTCGCCCCTCGGCCCCGGCCCCTTGGCCCGTTGCGCCCCTAGGCCCGTCGCGCCCCTTAGGCTCGTCGCGCCACCGCACGGCCCCTTGGCCCGTCGCGCCCATCGGCCCCTTCGACCCCAGGGCCCGGCCCCTTTCGCCCGTCGCGCCCCTTGGCCCCTTCGCCCGTCGCGCCCCTCGGCCCCTTCGCCTCTAGGCCCCGGCCCCTTGGCCCAACGCGCCCCTAGGCCCGTCGCGCCCCTTAGGCCCGTTGCGCCACCCCATCGGCCCCTTGGCCCGACGCGCCCCTAGGCCCGTCGCGCCCCTTAGGCCCGTCGCGCCACCCCACGGCCCCTTCGCCCCTAGGCCCCGGCCCCTTGGCCCGTCGCACCCCTCGGCCCCCAGGCCCCTTGGCCCCTAGCCTAGGCCCCTAGGCCTCGTGTTTGGCCCCTTGGCCCCGCCCCTCGGCCCCTAGGCCCGGCCCCTCGGCCCCTTGGCCCCCAGGCACCTCGGCCCCTCGGCCCCTAGCCTCGGCCCCTTGGCCTCGTATTTGGCCCCTCGGCCCCGCCCCTTGGCCCCTAGCCTCGGCCCCTCGGCCTCGTGTTTGGCCCCTCGGCCCCGCCCCTTGGCCCCTCGGCCCCTAGTCCCCTCGGCCCCTCGGCCCCTAGGACCCTTGGCCCCTCGGCCCCTAGGACCCTTGGCCCCTCGGCCCCTCAGCCCCTCGGCCCCGCCACCCTCGTGTTTGGCCCCTCGGCCCCTAGGCCCCTCGGCCCCTAGCCTCGGCCCCTCGGCCCCTTGGCCCCTTGGCCCCCAGGCACCTCGACCCCTTGGCACCTCGGCCCTGTGGCCCCTCCTGTTCGGCCCCTCGGCCCTCACCCTCGTGTTTGGCCCCTCGGCCCCTAGGCCCCTAGGCCTCGTGTTTGGCCCCTCGGCCCCGCCCCTCGGCCCCTCGGCCCCTAGGCCCCTTGGCCCCTCGGCCCCTAGTCCCCTCGGCCCCTCGGCCCCTAGGATCCTTGACCCCTTGGCTACTGCTACTGCTGATCCTGCTGCTACTGCTGCTCCTGAGTGCTGCGCCACTATGGCTTCGCTTAGAGTTCTAGCGTTTGATCATGAGGGCAGACCGGTTGCATTTGACACATGGCACGACGATCTGCAACTGTACCTTCTGAGCGATATTAAAGACAGTGTCTCACTGTTTGACCACATGTCCGGTGTCGCTCCAGCCCCTCCTGCCACAGCCGACGGTGCGACTCGT